TTTGAAATAAACATGATAGTGTTTATAGTGTATATATAATATATCAAGCCATGGGGATTTTATACTCAAGAAAGGTAATTAACTTAAAATACTTAATTATAGAATAAAGACCTGTCTAAATTAAAATAATGCACAAGTTATTACTGCGTTGCATTACTGCTGCATAATCCACTTGATATCTTCACACTCTTGAATGTATCTGAGGATAAAACATTTGGAAATGCAGAGTGCATAGAAAGTTTAATTACATCTTACAAAAACTGATACTGTTAAAATGAAAATTGCAGGTGAGAAACCACTTACGTTACAACACACTGTACAGAATATCACTGATTAAATAGCCTTTCATCTGTTAAGCAGAAAGCAAGTGGCAGTTTTGTTTAGATTAAAGCATTTTCAAATTAAAGCTTATGAGTTTAAAGAAGTTCTGAAAATGATGGAAATTCCAGGCATATATTCAGATAAACAAAATAAATAAGAAAGGCTTTGCATGGCAAGAGGTAAAGTCTGACATACGATTCTGTGTCGAGCGTAATAAACTACATGCCCTATCCAGCACCAAAGCCCTTTTCATGTTGCTTTCCCTGAGGATGACAGATCAGGGTAATTCACTTTGAGATTGCCTTTTCCTTGATCTGAATGGCAAAGAAATGAAATGAAACCCTCCCCTTCCCAGCTGAATCACAGCTACTCATGATCTCAGATAGCGAAATGTGAATAGTCCGGTTTATAAGTGCACCATAGTCCCTATTGAAGCTATAGACCTATTCTGCAGACGTCTGTGTGATTTCGATTGTGGCTGCTGCCACCACAAAGGCATAACGGAGTCATGCTGTTAACAAACAAGAGACGCTTTAGCCATATTTCTTGACTCTGGATGTATTTTCCATTGGGTTACAGGATTTCGCTCTGACAGCCTGTGACTGTCTAATTTGGAGGTCACTTAAAAGACTGGAACTGTATGGGTTTTTAATACTTTTCACATCTCTGTTTTCACCTCTTGTGTGGAGGCCAGAACAATCTGAACGCATATCGATGTGTGCTGAGAGAACTCAAAAAAAAAAAAGTAATTGCATCAGCTGGTTGAAAAGGACTTCCATTGGGAAATGGCCTTGATTTAAAATCTGTACAATTACCTCTCGGTTCCATTTGTTTTTTCGCTCTGTCTCTTTCCTCCAAGGCCTTCAAGTTTATTTTCTTGTCTCAGGCAGTACACAGTACACTGTGATAATTCACTCTACTTGTGGTTTGAGTGTTTTCACAAAAGATAAATAATCACAAACGACCCTATGTACTTTAATTAAATATGCCTGTTCTTGTTGTGCACAATTCTGCAGTGCATGTTCTTCTAAACAAAAAAGTGTTCAAAATAACATGTAAAAACAGAATCTTTCTTAACCTCCAAATTGGTGTTTGCTTTGCAGTAATCAAGGCTTTGGGGGCAGGATGTAATATTCATATAATACTATTAACCAATCATTTCCACAATTCTGAATATGTTCATATTCTCTTCAAATATGATTAAAAAAACTGTGCTTTTTAATATTTGTACAGCCATCACTAGCCATTAGCGACAGGACACTATGGTAATAAACAGACGGTGCAGACAATGGACAGATTAGATTAGCCAGTAACAAAAGCCTGCTGTCAATTAGATAAAGAACAGAAGTACACTAGAATCAAAATCAGAGAGCATTTCTAAACTAAAGCATGTTACAATAATGTAAGTGGTGTATATATACCTTCAGATCTAGTCTAAATTGATTACATTATTTAATCAAAGTGGACTGCAGTAGTCTTTACAAGCATTAATAGTTCCATGTTGTGGATTGTTAACTTTTAACCATATGTACTGTAGTACAGCTCACATAAATGTAAACAGACCCCTCATGCATTCTTTATACATAAACTAGGGGGAAAATATCTATTTCATATAGAAGTGAGTTTGTGATTCAGGTAAATGTAATTTCAGAATGCTTTCACATATAGATATGAATCACTAGATAGATAGATAGATAGATAGATAGATAGAATGATAGATACAATGAACGAACGATAGAAAGATAGAACGATAGATAGAACGATGGAACGATAGATAGAACGATAGAATGATAGATGGAACGATAGATAGAACGATAGAACGAACGATAGAACGATATAATGATAGAATGAACGATAGACCGATATAACTACAGAAAGATGGAGCGATAGATAGAACAATGGAACGATAGATAGAATGATAGAACGATATAACGATAGATGGAATGATAGAACGATAGAACGATAGAACTATAGATAGATAGAATGATAGATGGAACGATAGATAGAACGATAGAACGATATAATGATAGAACGAACGATAGACCGATATAACTATAGAAATATGGAACGATAGATAGAACAATGGAACGATAGATAGAACGATATAACGATAGATGGAACGATAGAACGATAGAATGCTAGAACGATAGAACTATAGAAAGATAGAACGATAGAAAAAACGATGGAACGATAGATAGAATGATAGAATGATAGATGGAACGATAGATAGAATGAGAGAACGATAGATAGAACGATGGATGGATGGATGGATAGAACGATAGATAGAACAATAGAACAATAGAATAGTAGAACGATAGATAGATAAATAGATAGATAGATAGATAGATAGATAGATAGATAGATAGAAAATTAAAGAAAGTATAGATAGATAGATAGATAGAACGATAGAATGATAGAATGATAGATAGATAGATAGATAGATAGATAGATAGATAGATAGATAGATAGATAGATAGAACGATAGATACAATGAACGAACGATAGAACGATATAACTATAGAAAGATGGGAACGAACGATAGAACGATATAACTATAGAAAGATGGGACGATAGATAGAATGATAGATGGAACGATAGATAGAATGATAGAATGATAGATGGAACTATGGATAAACGATAGAATGAACGATAGAACGATATAATGATAGACCGATATAACTATAGAAAGATGGAACAATAGATATAACAATGGAACGATAGATAGAACGGATAGATAGATAGATAGATAGATCATCATATAATGTACGCTCTATATATAAGCAATATCACATAAGCAGGAGTGCAATATGAATAAAATCAGAAAACTCTTCTAGAAAACTATTCCTGCATAAAAAAAGCTAATCATTTATATAATATAACATTAGAGAAACAACACACATGATTCCTCCTAAATGTGAGGTGGTCGAGCACAGTATTGCACTGCAATTCAGAAAAACACAAGGATTCAGCGACCCGTGACTATCGGCTCTTTCTAGTACGGATGATTTGTCATTTATTGGGTAATTTAAAAGTGCTGCCTTTGTAATATAAAAACTGCTGTTTCAGACACATCAAAACACAGTGAAGAATCAGTACATAGCCATATACTTGGTTTTATATCAGCCCATCATAAGCAAAGCATATAATGGTGTGTCTGTATAGGCCTGTTTTCCAGTCCCGGCCAAACCCTACATGCTATTACAGTTACAACCTTGACCAAAGCACATTTCCCATATCTATTCATGCGGTTTAACACAATCGAATGATATCTTCTGTGTGTGTGCAGGTACATACGTGATGAAGGTGACGGCAACAGATGCAGACGACCCTACATACGGCAACAGTGCCAGGGTGGTGTACAGCATACTTCACGGCCAGCCATACTTCTCCGTGGATCCCAAAACAGGTAAAACACTCCTCAATATTTGATAGCAAATATACAGAAAAATGTTGGCTGCATAAAAAAAAATGAAATTACTATTAACAAACAAGTTCCTCTGTTTTGTTTGTGTAATACAACAGACAAGACTCATTAATTTCACAGTTCACAGGTTTCAGCGTAATTACATTCATTGACCCTATTAGACAAATAAGCTCTGCGGTTTGATTTGATAATGTGGCCAGCCTAGAAAATGGATTTGTAACTCAAAATATACTGCAATTAATTTTGAACAGCAGAACAGTAACAGACATCCTGTCAGCTAAACAGGCCAGAAAAGATCTATAATTATACAATCAGGTGCTGCATTTCAAACCCTCCGAGTTGAAAATAAAGTCAGCCCGGTAACAGCAAATGGATTTCTCTGTTGTTTTTATGGCTTGGGGGAATTGTAGCATCATCAAATGATGCAGCAAATAAACTGAATTTGTATTTTTTCCCAGTGAATACTTTGTTATGCAATATTCAGGAGCGTTTACAGCAATGAATGGGAATTTACAAATGGCCATCGCCTGCATTCAATGGGCTGCAATATCCAATATGCAAAAGCACAAACCTGCAAGGTAAACTTGATGCACAGAGCATGTGTGAACATTTCCTGCTTGTTTTTGGTGTGGTTACGACCCTGTTGTGCAAGTATGAAGCAATGCAAAGAGGAATAGATGAATACAAATATAATATCCTGATATCAGCAAAACCGGAGGGGGGGCTCAAAGAGTGACATTCTGTAGCCGAACAAATAAAACGACTAGTAAGGAAGAAAAATCTGGTTTTGTCCCAGGCCATATCAAAAAATCTGCCAACACAAACTGACAGTAAACAAAAGCCGTGAGAGGAGGGTGGGAAACAAAGGCAGGGGGTAAAATGCATAACAGAATCAACACTGAGTGCAGTCCGTGAGAGAAAACAGACTCAGGACACACACATCTTAAAGGAACAGTTCACCTAAGAATGAAAGTTTGCCACCATTTAATCGCTCCAAATTTTCTTTCTTCTTTCTGTGAAATAAAAAAGGAAGATCTTAGGCATAATTTCTGCTTTCAATACAAGAAAAATTAATGGTCATGCAGTAAATGATAACAAAATGTCATTTTTAGGTGAACTACTCATTTAATTACCACACAAACTTCAAAGAGAGATCTGCTCAAGCGAAACGGAAATAAAAAAAACAGATCCATCTTGTAACAGGCCGAGAGAATCACACATGACATCCCTTTTACGTTTCATCTGAAATTGGCATTGAATGAAGGTCCACGCCTTTCTTAACCATCCGCCACCATGTCTAATTCATCCTATGAAGCGCTCTCTTGATCTGGGAAAGCTTCTTGTGGCGTTGGGAAACGCATTAGTTGTGCTTTATGGAAGAAAAGGTGTTGCTACACTAGCTTTGTCGCCTTGTTAAGATTGTTAAGTACCAGAAGCTTTAGGGCTGACCTCAATCTTTCAGCTGGAGAAAAACACTTGAAGGTAAAGTTACTGGTTCCAGGAAGGGTTTTACAGTCTTTAACTTAGGAACAATCTGTGTGCTGATGCTTCAAAGAACCCTGGAGAACTTCACTTCTTCTTTAGCAGCTAATTCCTAAGAAGCAAAAATATGTTCTGGAGGGGGTATGATATAATATCAAGAACTTACCCAAAGAACCGTATAGCCATTCCAATTTTCCAGGCATTTATGGAAACTAAGCTTTAAAAAAATGGTGCATTCAGAAATCGTTGTTAGTGTGATATATGGACGCACAAATTTATATTAACACCTATTCAGTATTTAGCGACATACAATTTGCATTTTGTTAACATTAAAGACATTAAATCAAAATGTACAATTATTTTTGTATGGTCGATAGCAATGTTTATAATATTCAATATTCCATAAAATGTATTATCCATATTATAGTGATATCAGTGCATATAATTATTGTTTTTATTCAAAGTCATGTGCCTGTGATCTTTCTTGAAAAACATTAACGCCCTACCTTACTTTTTTTTTTTTTGTCAATGAAGAAGCTATTTTATTCAGACACACTCCACAATAGAGAAGTAAAGATTATCAAAATGTCCATTTCATGCTGAAAAAACGCACTGTTCCGTCAAAAGACGTTTATGAAATTAGATTTATGCTTTTAAACCCTTTAAAAAATTGGCCCCTATACTTTCAATGTAAGTGCCCCACTTTAACCCTAACCACTTTGAAATTATTTTTGTGATTATTAACATACTACAAATGCTGCTTCGCTTGTATTAAACCCTGATTATTCCTTTAATTCTAGCAGTCAGAGAAAAGGTTGAGAATGGTCAAGTACTGCAAAATTTCAGCCAGTAATAGAGTAAGAGGCTTTTTTTGTATTGAATGGCTGTGGTATCAGAGGCTAACAGGGCCAAGCTAACCTTGACCCGTTCCGTGTAGTAGATTAAAACCTGTTGGGACACACAACCACCATGATAAAGGTGTTAAAAAACAAAGGTGACATCTCATCAGCCAGTGCATTTTGTGAAGCAGGACTAACCTATAACCTCCAAACACTAATTCAAACCATAAAACAACACAAATCTAGCTGGGTTCGGTCATGCTGAGAGGCAAGACAGATTTTCAGGACACCGACAATAGCACAGAAATAACACGCTACACCTTTAAGTTCAATTTGCTTCAGTTTCCTTTTCCACAATGCAGCAGAACTTCATCCATTTCCCTTTTTTGCCACTCTCAATTTTCTTATCTCAGTTGCGTCTGTTATTTTAGATTACCATTCTCGTCCTTTTCTCAGCAGGGCTCATTCTCAGGTCTAAACCCTATTCTTCTCCTCACCTTACCCTCTTTTCTGTAATCCGATTCTATCCACACACTGATATCTGCCTGTATTCACAGCCTCTTCATCTATACTCTCTTTATCGTCCTTTACTCTGGTCTCTTCTTTCCATTAACGCAGTCTGGCTCTCTTTCGATCTGTGTGCAGGAGTCATCAGGACAGCTCTACCCAACATGGACCGGGAGGTGAAGGAGCTGTATCAGGTCCTCATCCAGGCCAAAGACATGGGTGGACAGTTAGGGGGTCTTGCAGGGACCACCACCATCAACATCACCCTGAGTGACGTCAATGACAACCCACCCAGGTTCTCCAAAAGTAAGCCACTCTGTATAACTATCAACTCATGTAAACTCAAATCAGTCAAAAGTTTGAATGCACTTGATCTTTTCCATATTTCAGATCAATAATGAAGCCAATAAAACTATCAAATGCAAGCATGGCAATTATACTGTAATATTATTATTATTATTATTTGTTTAACATTATAACTTCAGTTTGTTCCTTTATTATCCCATATTTCCATTAAAAATTGAAGTATTATATAGAAATGTTAAACAAATAAATAAATAAATAAATATATTTTTTTATTATATTTATTTTAATATATATATATATATATAGAGAGAGAGAGAGAGAGAGAGAGAGAGAGAGTAAAAAAAAAAGATTAAATTAAATACAATTAAAATAAAATCATTAATTAAAATTAATTAAAATAAATAATTAAAATAAAAAGAAGCTTTTAAAACATCATGAAAAGTATTCAGACGTATGCTATCAGCTCTATTTATGAATATGAAACTGTAGTTCTGTAAATAAAATGATTGCAGGCACAATTTATTTATTCCACCAAACAAATTTAAAGCATTTACGCATAAAGCTTTAGACCAAAAAGTTTTTAATATAATGAGAAACATACATTCAGGCAAGTGTCTAAACCTTTGACTGGTAATGCAGCATTTTCTTTTTAAATACACATGAGGAAGCTTAAAAACTTAATGCATTCATAGAGAAAATGTATGCCAACATTTCTTTAAAAATAAATTAATAATCTTGAATCTATAAATGTTGTTTGCATAAAGGAAGAAAGGCAGCATATTTAACACCATCTCCGGAGTAGAAGAAAGAAGAAAAAAACACACACACACACACAAATATTATTGGTTCTTACAGTAAGTGTGTGAACACACTAGACATTAATTAATGAGATTTCAGAGAAACCAGAGTTTCCTAACAGCAAAGAAGTCATGAGCATGCAGTCTTAGGTCATTCACAAAGCATGTGTATTTGGCCAGTGGAATGGGAGGAAATAACACAAAGTCGTGAAGTGTTTTTTTAAAAGCTGAACTTCGTTTAACTTGAGCATCACATTTTTAGAAGGGCCTGTCACGCGAGGTGCTGCAAAAGACGTGAGACGGCCTTTTACTGTCCCTGTTCACAGCTTCTATCTGTCTCATATTTTATGCATTTATATACTTAATGTTCTTTATTTATTTTTCCACTGGAATAAGGCCAAGTCTTTAACCAAGCAAACAGGCTCCATTTGCACTCAGCAATCGTGAAATAGAAATCATGTTGAGTCTCAGCGATGAGCACTGGTTTCCTCGCTGTGTAAATATTGGTAATACCCTGGGAGCAAAGTAGATTTCCATCAGCACGTCTCAGAGGATGGCACTATGATGACTGCTGCATTCTGGGCCGTGTCTCTGCATCTCTCTCCCTCTTGTTGTTTGTTTTTTGGTGCATTGCACTAATGCATCTAATGACTTCTTAATTAGCTGATGTTTTTTTTGTGTGTGTGTTTGTGTGTGTGTGTGTGTGTGTGTGTGTGTGTGTGTGTGTGGGCATGGCCACTCAACACATTCGTTTTTACTAATCAACATGATCTGTTTGTGCCTACTGTGCATATGTCTTCACCAGCATTGGGGTAACTAACCAAAAGTAGCAATTTTACTAACTTAACTACATTTTTAGTAGCATGGCATTAGCTCAGCTGTTTTCAGTTCAGTGTAGGTTTGCCAAAAACCAGCATTTTCCAAAAAGAAGCAGAGTGATGTGAAACCAACACTTCATCACTGCTTTTTATGTCATATTTACAGCCAAGTGCTTTGAGGCAGTTATCAAACGCTCTCTCCAACAATAATGTCCTCTCTAGAGTTGCCAACTTCTGAAATTTGGCACAGGAGGAGGAATATTGTGGCAATCTGGATATGTTGTAAATGTGCATTCAGAAATATGAATCAATTAAGATTAAATCATAATTTATGCTATTTATTTGGTTAATACATATTTCTGTTCTTAAAGGAATAGTTTACCCAAAAATCTAATTTACTCACCCGATGTGTGCAGTTCTGTTTATTAACCGCTAGAGCGCCAAAAGTTACATAGTGCTGCTTTAAATTTTTAAAAGAATAGTTTACCAAAAAATGAAAATTTGCTGAAAATGTACTCACCCTCAGGCCATCTAAGATGTAGATGAGATTGTTTCTTCATCAGAACAGATTTGGAGAAATTACATCACTTGCCCCTCAAAAGATCCTCTGCAGTGAATGGGTGCCGTCAGAATCAGAGTCCAAACAGCTGATAAAAACATCAGAATGATCCACAAGTAATCCACACAACTCCAGTCTTGTGAGGTGAAAATATGTGTGTTTGTAAGAAACAAATCAAGGACATTTTAGACTCCTCTATCCATATTATTGCTTTTCTTACAACCATGCAGCTTTTCTCGTCACAAGACATTAACTAATGCACTGGAGTCCTGTGGATTACTAATGGATTACTGTGATGTTTTTGGACTCTCATTCTGACGGCACCCATTCAACATATATATATATATATATATATAGCATTTCTGTAATCTATATAACCTACCAGTCATCAGTTTTTGAACAGTACGATTTTTAATGTTTTATAAGGAAGTATCTTTTGCTCACCAAGCCTGCATTTATTTGATTCAAAGTACAGCATAAGCAGTAATGTTGTGAAATATTTTTACTATTTAAAATAACTGCTTTCTATTTGAATATATTTTAAAATGATTGTTTCTGTTTTCTGTGAAAACAACTGTTTTCATACAGCGATAGCTGGACGCTTTTGTCCATATTAGGAATTTCCTCGTACGACTTTCTGCGCGAGAGCGCCCTCCGGCTTCGAGTATGAATTAGACATACACTGCACGGAATGTTTAGCGCTCCGCGATGTTCATCTCGCCTTATTCTGGGTCCGAATAAAACATCAGATCATGCACAGGCTATCCTGTCTCTTTGAATTTAAATTTATATTTATTGACACTGGCTCTTGAAAACCTCCATGTGAACACATTTGCCCGAAAAAGTGCGGGGGACGAATTTACGTGATATTAAAAGTGGGGGGGACACGTCCCCCGCGTAATCTACGCCCCTGCCTGAAAGTGAGTAAATTTTCAGCAAATTTTCTTGTTTGGGTGAACTATTCCTTTAATGTGAACATTTCATGGGTGCATGTTATTCCAAATATAACTAAAACAGAAAAATCGACCACAAAACTATTAAAGCAGCTTCCCCAACACTAGTCACATGTGCTTCAAAACACTCATTGATTCTACAGGCATCTTCCACCTGCGTGTACCGGAGTCATCAGCAGTTGGGTCAGCGGTTGGCCGAATCAAAGCTCATGATCTGGACATTGGAAAGAATGCAGAGGTGGAATACAACATCGTCCCTGGCGATGGAGGAGCCATGTTTGATATCACCACCAACGAGCACAATCAGGAGGGAATCATCATGCTCAAAAAGGTAAAGCCTCATTTAAAGTGCAATATGTACTAACAGCAAGTACATGTTAAACACTCAGCGGTTGATTTGTATTATTATATGAAGGTCACATTAGAATTTTAAAAACATCTTGTCAAGCCTTTGTTTATTTTTGGTTCTATTTTTGGTTTACCCTTGTCGCAGACTTTCAATCTTAAAATATATAAATGCAACAAATCAATAGTTTACGAGGCTTTTATAAAAAAAAAAAAGAAAAAAGAAAAAAAAAAAAATAAAAGAA